TTGGAGCAGCTCTACTCACCTGTAGGATCACCATGAGTCAGAATTGACTCGATGGCAGAGGGGCTAGTTTGGGGTTTTGATATAAAGAATGAAAGCAAACGTAGACATAACTTACCTACAAAGGGAGAATCAAACTTGCACCTATTTCTTATCAACAACAGCTTGTATTAAAAGAAAGTGGAGTAATGTCTTCAAGGTTCTGAGGAAAAAAATTTTTTTTCGACTAGAATACTATCCTCAATCCAACTATCATTCAAATGCAAGAACAGATATTCAAGTGTCCTATTAATTTACGAATCATAAATTCTTTTTTAAGGAAGTTACAAAGCAATTACTACAAAAAATTAGAATAGAAACCAAAGGAGGATATAAACAACCATTAATTAAGCCAGATCAAATAAAGAGAAATCTCTAGTCCTTGAGAATAAATGGGGAATAGAGCTGGAAGGTTCTAGGGGCTTGTCTCCAGGGAGAAAATGTTGTTGTTAAATGCAGACATGTTGGTTCTGACTCATAGCAATCCTGTATAGGGTTTTCAAGACTGTAAATCTTTATGGGAGCACAAAGCCTCAGCCTACTCTCATAGACTGACTGGTGGATTTGAACTACTGACCTTGTGGTTAGCAGTCTAGTGTTTATCCTACGGTGCAACTAGAACTCCTATTAAGAAAATATGTGATTTGAATACTTTACATAGAATATTTGAGACGTTGGAAAATCTTGAGACTATTCTAAAGTCCTCAGCAAAAAAGGAGAGGTAATTAGACAGTTCAAAAAATGAAATATGTATAATAAAACATGTATGGTCCCAATGAAACAATACTAAAATGTATAATATTAAGCAATGGGATGGTAAAAAAATGATAAAAAAAAGACATCATTCAGCCTTTTCTCCCATTAGTGCCTCTGAAGTTACCAGTGATAGCTCATATGATGTAACACATGCTTGAATTAACTTAGAAAGCCAAAGACCATCTCATAGAAACATTCATTTTATATTTAATAAAGAATGTAGAATGTATATGATATGTTGAATCTATAATAAAGTATGTAGTAGAACAAAAGATTGCAAATGAATAGTTGATATACAAGGCAGTTGGTAATAATCCATACATTGTTCTTGTTGTTAAGTGCTGTTGAGTTGGTTCTGCCTCAAAATGACTCCATGCAGGGTTTCTGAGAGTGGTTAGTTGATTTGAAATCCTGATCTTAAAATTGCTTGTACTACAACACTACACCAGGGCTCAGTCTATATGTACATCAGATCAAATTCTAGGCAATACATTTATCAGATGATCTTTCACACTAGTTTATTACACTTTAGGGCTTGTGATTGCATTCCTAAAAGGTGGGTGTTCTTATAATAATAATAATTATTATATACATGGATTTAACATTTTCACACTTATAATTGTATAAGAAAATTTTTGCTAGTTTCAGTTTCTTAAAAAAATGGGAATATATGAAATCTAGTATTCTATAAAGGAGCTCTGGTAGCATAGTGGTTACGATTTGGGCTGCGAACCGCAAGGTCAGCAGTTCACAACTTCCAGCTGTTCTGCAGGAGAAAGATGAGGCTTTCTGCTCCTGTAAAGATTTACAGTCTCGGAAACCCTGTACAGGGTTGCTATGAGTTGGAAGCGACTCCACAGCACATAACCAAAGTATTCTATGGTGTGACACTATAGGATAAGCACTGGATTGCTAACTGCAAGGTTAGTGGTTCAAACCCATCAGTTGCTTCTCAGAAACCCTATACAGGTTTGCTATGAATTGAAACTGACTTGAGGTACTTGATATTAACAACAGTAGTAGTATTCTATGGAACAGTTTGAAAAATGTTTTAGCATATTTTTTAAAACTTATCAAAATTATACATTATACAGGGTATCTTTTTTATTCCTAATCAAGTCTGCCCTTGATCTCCAATTTTTAATTTATAGGAATTTATAATATTCTGTATCCATTGGCTCAACTTTTCAAATCTCACTTTCACTATGTATAAAATTCAAGAACCGATATACAAATGTGTGATAAATTTACCTCCCATAAAGTCTATGGAAGTCATGTCTGACTTCCAGCTTCACAGGTGGAGAGGAGGATTAAACTCATCACCATCAGCTCAAAGACAATTCCTATGAGACTGAATTTAGATGCTTCAATTCGCCAACCTTCTGACTAATTCTGACACCAACAGTCCCTCCCACAGCACTGTTTCTCAACTGGGTTTGATAATTCATTGCAAAGACCACACAGAACAGTAACCATGCTCACGATTATGGAATTTATTAGGGAAGTTATTGTTGCTAAGTGCCATTGAGTCAGTTCTGACTCATAGTGACTCTACGTAGGGTTTCCAAGGAGCAGCTAATGGGTTTGAACTAACAACCTTGTGGTTGTCAGTCAAGTGCTTATCCTACAGCACGACACCAGGATCAGAAATAGTCAGGATCAGTTCTTTTTCAGGACAGCCTCATCCCACCCCTGTCCACAGGAAGGTCCCTCCCTTGGTCTAAAAGATTTACAAAACTCTTTTAGGACTTCAGATAAATGCAAAGGGCATACCATTCCATCATAAAAGCCTCAGCATGAAGGCACTTGGCTCTAGCTCTGGGTAAACTTGTTGTTGATGTCAAGTGCCGTTGAGTTGGTTCCAACCCATACTGACCTGTATAGGGTTTCTAAGAAGCAGCTGGTAAGCTTGAATCTGCAGCTCAGGTGGTTCAAAACTATTTTGTAGTTGAGCGCATTAACCCTCAGTGCCACCTCAAATTAAGCACCTGGAGGCACCCCACTCTGCAAGTGAACCAAGTGTCTAAGGCATCAGCTTTCTCTCTGTAGTCTGGGAAGCCCACCACTCTGGCTCCTCCTCTGGCTCTTGGTCCTGCTATGGTGCTCCTGTGCTGCTTGAGTCTCTGCCACTCCTCTGCATCTCCTCTAATGTCACAGCTTTCTGTTCCTGGATCAAAGAGGTTCGATGTGCAGAGATCTTGGGGTCCAAATGATGTGCTCCATTCCTGGCTCTTCTTCCTTGATGGTAGTATGCTATCCCTCTGCTTCTGAAATTGCTCATTTTAGCCACAGCAGAATGGTTAAATTGACCAATGACAATGAATCCTGTTAAAAATTATTCACAACTGAATCATACAATCCTATACCATTGTTCTGATCTTCTTTCATCAGGATAAACATTTGGTGGGAGTTATAAAGACTATGGTTAGAAGAGTTCTATTAAATAATGCAATGCAGTGGACATTACAAGCTTGGACCAGCTTGTTTTACTGAATATTCCTTTAAGTGTTTGAATGGTTTGTTATTAGGAACTTGCTGGAAAACATAGTTTAAAACATAAGCAATTTTTAAAAATAGGAAGTTGATTCAAGAACACACTGAACTTTCAGAAATCAGTATATTTTAAAGCACAATTAGAGATGTTGCATGTAATTTTAATACAGGGTTACCTCATTCTAATATGTTTCACTTTATTGTACATTTTAGATATTGTGGATTTGAAAAAAAAAAAACAAATTGAAGGTTTATAGCAACCTTGAATCAAGAAAGTCTATTGGCATTTTTTTTTAGTAGCATGTGCCACATTTTAGTAATTCTCACAATATTTCAAAGTCTTTCATAATGTGATTCATATTTAATAGACTATATTATTGTTAAGTGCCATCAAGTCAGTTCCAACATATAGTGACCCTACCTAGTGTTTCTGAGGAGCAGCTGGTGGGTTTGAATTGCTGACCTTGTGGTTGGCAATCCAGTGCTTATCATATAGCATACTATAAATATAATTCTTATATGCACTGAAAAACCAAAAAATATGTGTGACTTGCTTTAGTGCAATATTTGCTTTGTTGTGGTAATCTGAAACTGAACCCACTGAGGTCTGTCTGTGTTAAATCTTTACATGTTTCACAGTATTAGATACATTTAAGTAGAGAACAATATAACTTAACACGATTATTGAAACTATGACTATGCATTAAATAATGTTTTTGAAATGGGTTTGTTCACTTCTTGTAATACTAAAAATGCTATTACTTACATATTCTTCAATGTTATTCAAACTATAGAGGAAATTTTTTGCTAAATGCTAAATCCCAATGATATTAATTTAAAAAAAAGTGCTTGTTATCAGGAGCAAGTACTTAATGAGGATCAACAGATTTGATCTATGTATAAATTTACTACCTATTGATAATTTTATTTTATAATTAATTGTGATGAATGCTAATATTTATTCAGCAAAGAAAACTACCGTTAATGTTCTAGATCAGGCTGGGGACATTTGATCTGGCCCCACCAAAGTAACCTCAGTTCTAGCCACAACATTGTTGTTATTGTTGTTAAGTGCCATTGAGTCGGTCCTGACTCATAGTGACCCTGTGTAGGGTTTATGAGAAACGGCTGGTGGGTTTGAACTGCCAACCTTGTGGCTCAAACTGACCTTGCAGTGCAGTATTATCCATCAGCGCCATGCCAGGACACCAACCATCACATTAGGGATGACTTAATTAAAAGTTTGACCAAATATAGCAGACTTATTTTTTTAAAAGCTCTTATTGTGCATTGTGATAGTTTACGTGGGAACATCAATTTTACACCCATCCTATTGTATTTCATATCATTGCAATGATTACAACCCTTCCATGCATCACCATTCAACAGTATTTGATTCTATTCCCTCTGTTTTTTTTGCGTTTGTTTGTTTGTTTTGATGTACACAGAAACACTAAGGAATATATAATCATTTAAACAACCCAAAGGCACATTCTGCAATCCTGCCTCCTGGCTGCCAGCACACAGCCTTTCTCTTTTCATGAGTTTAGAGTCCTCAGCTGCTCTATTTCTCCATGTCATCATGTTTGCCTAGCAGCTAATTTTTAAGTTGATAGTTTTGTATGGCCCACGAAAAATGTTATAAATTTTGGCAGAAAAAATGTTGCCCATCCCTGTAATCTAGATCTACTATTGGGTACATTTCCATGTGGGAGGTACTAAGGGATATGTGTATACATGGGATATTCAGCCTCATTTTGACTGGGATGCTGAGACTTCTAAGCCTCAGTTATGCTGAGTTGTTGCTTCTACATGATTAATCTTGTTCTTTCCAGGTGACGATGCCAAGCAGGCAGTTAAACATGGTGTGGATGGGATCTTGGTATCAAATCATGGGGCTCGACAGCTTGATGGAGTGCTGGCCACCGTGAGTCTCAGCAAATGATGGCATTTCTTTTTGAACTTACCATTTCCAACAATTTGGACTATCTGTATATTTGCCTCTCTGTGTGTAGATTTGTGTGTGATCCCTCAAGGCAAAATATACGTGAATATATGAGGGCTCAGATTTTAAGTTTAATGGTACCCAAAACCCACTGCCGTTGAGTCAATTCTGATTCTTAGTGACTCATTAGGACAGAATAGGGTTTCCAAGACCAAATCTTTGTGAGAAGAGTCAACCTCCTCTGTCTACCACAGAACACTGGTAGATTTGAACCATCCATCTTTTTGTTAGAAGCTCAATGCACACACAACCCACTGTGCAATAGGACTCCTTTTTAATGGCACACAATAGTTAAGTTAGATCATTAATTTGAAAAAGTCCCTATTATATACTTATGTATTTGTGAGAATGCATTATTCTTGCATTCATACGATGTTAATTTTAGTTGCCATTGAGTTGGTCCTGACTCTTGTTACAGAGTAGAACTGTATTGCATGAGGTTTTTCTGCTTCTAAACTTAGCATTCTCATCATTTAAAGTTTTAAACATCAATTAGGTTATTTCTTTGATGCCTGTAAACGTTTTCACATTTTATAGCATAGTGGTTATGAATTGATTTGCCACCCTCAAGGTCAGCAGTTTGAAACTACCAGCTGTTCTGCGGGAGAAAGATGAGGCTTTCTGCTTCCGTAAAGATTTACAGCATCGGAAACCCTGTGCAGGGTCTCTATGAGTTGGAACCGATTCCATGGCACATAACCACCATCGCCATTGTTTATCATTGACAAAGTCGTCATATATTAAAACTTACTGAAAAAAAATTATATTTATTTTAAAAAGTAGGTGGACTCTCCCCACTATTATCTCTCTCTGAACTGGATAACCATAAGCATTTTTCTCCATTTATCAGAACTGTTGAGTCATAGCGATATGATGAATGGCTTTAATTGGGATAGCCTGTGAAATTTATTCAAACAACTGAAAGCAAAGTAGAATCAGTAATTCGGCCAAGCAGTTGTGGATTATTCATTCATTGAACTAGCAGATTGATTTAGCCAAGTCCATAAAGGAGTCTTGGTGTGGCACTGTGGGTTAATGCGCCAGACTGCAAAGCTGTTTGAACTGCAAGGTTGACGGTTTAAGCTCACCAGCTGCTCCTTGGAAACAGGGTCGCTATGGGTTGGAATCGACTCGATGGCACTTAACAACAACAATAACAACATAAAGTAATTGGGACTCCTGGTGTGGCGATGCAGGATCAGCATTGGACTGTGAACCACAATGTCAGCAGTTCAAACCCACCAACTGCTCCTGGGATACCCTATACAGGGTTGCTATGGGTCAGGACAAACTCAATGGCACTTAACAACAACAAGCAATTGATGCAGTGGTTTTTCTGTAGTAGAATTCTTGCCTTTCATATTGTAGACCCTTATTCAATCCCTGGCCAATGGTCTTCATGGCCAGTTAGCACCCATCTGTCTACTGATGTTTTGCTGTGATGCTAAACAGGTTTCAGTAGAGCTTCCAGTTTAAGACAGACTAGTAAAAAAGGTCTGGCAGTTTACTTCAGAAAATCAGCCAGTGTAAACAATGAATTACAAAGATCTGATCCACAATCCATAATGCAGATGGCACAGGACTAGGTATGTTTTCAATCCATTGTGCATAGATCACTGTCTTAGTTATCTAGTGCTGCGAAAATAGAACTACCATGAGTGGATGGCTTTAACAGATAGAAATCTATTCTCTCATAGTTTAGGAGGTAGAAGTTTGAATTCAGAACACTGGCTCTAAAGAAAGGTCCTTATCTTCTTTCTTCAGAGCCAGTGCTCCAAAGACCCAACATTATTTGGAGGCACCCAAGTATCTTGACATCAATTTTGCTCTGGATCTAGAAGTTTCAGTGTAACTCTCGTACTCCACTTTTGGTTCTTCTGTTTTGGTGATAGTAGGTTCCTTTTAGCTTAGCTCACTTGTCTTTTCCTTTTCTACCTCAAAAGAGATGGACTTGAGATAAACCTAATCCCGTAGATTGTATATGACCTCATTAATATCATGTTGTTGTTAGGTGGCATCAAGTTGGTTCTGACACATACCAATCCTATACAAAACGGTATGAAACACTGCCCAGTCCTATGCCGTTCTCACAATTGTTGTTATGCTTCAGTTTATTGCTATTGCCACGGTGCCAATCCATCTTGTTGGGGGCCTTCCTCTTTTTCTCTGACCCCCCACATTACCTACAAACGATGCCTTTCTCCAGGGACTGGTTGCTCCTGAAAATATGTCTGAAATATGAGAGACAAAATCTGACCATTGTGGCATCTATCGCATATTCCGAAACGAACTCCTCCAAAAAAAAATTGGTTGGTCCTTGGGCAAGCCAAGGGAACTTTAAAAATAACCTCCAATACCATAACTCAAATGCATCAATTCTTCTAAGGCCTTCCTTATTCATTGTCCAATTTTCACATGCATATGAGGCCATTGAAAATACAATAGCTTGGGTTAGATATACTTTATTCCTAAAATGGACAGCTTTGATCTTGTGCAGCAGATTTGCCTAATGCAATATGTCATTTAATTTCTTGACTGCTGCTTCCATAAGTATTGAGTATAGATCCAAGCAAAATGAAGTCTTTGACAACTTCAATATTTCCTCCATTTATCATAATGTTGTTTATCTGTGAAGTGGTAAAGATGTTTGTTTTCTTTACACTGAGGTGTAACCTATATCAAAGATTGTAGTCTTTGATCTTCCTAAGAAAGGATTTTATTTTAAAGCCACTTCACTTTCAGCAAGCAAGGTGTGTCATCTGCATATCACATGAGTCTTCTTCCAATCCTGATGCCACTTCTTCATATAATCCAACATTTTAGTTTACTTGCTCAACATACAGATCAAATAAATATAATGAAAGGATACAACCCTGGAGCACACCTTTCCTAATTTTAAAGCACTCAATGTCCCTTTGTTCTGTTTAAAGAACTGCTTCTTGGTCTATGAGCACAATTAAGAGTTCCAGAGTACTCATTCTCCTCAGTATTATCCATAGCTTGTCATGATCCACAAAGTCGAAAGCCTTTGTGTAGTCAATAAAGCATAGGCAAACATTTTTCTGGAATTATTTGCTTTTAGCCAAGATCCATCTGATGTCACTGATATCCCTCTTTCCATGTCTTCTTCTGAATCTGGCTTGAACTTCTGAAAGTCAATTTATGAATGTAGTTAATTTTTGCATTATCTTTAGTAAAATTTTACTTGCATGTGACATTAATGACATTGTCTGATGATTTCACATTTCATTGCATCACCCATCTTTGGAATGGGCACAAATATGGATCTCTGCAAATCACTTGGCCAGGTACCTGTCTTCTAAATTTTTTTGCATAGATGAGTGAGTGCCTCCAGTGTTGCATCAATTTGTTGAAAGATTTCAATTAGTATTCCATCCATTCCTAGAGCCTTGTTCTTTGCTAGTGTCTGCAGTGCACCTTGTACTTCTTCCTTCAGTACTGTTGGCTCTTGATCATATGTTACTTCTTGAAATGGTTGACCATTGACCATTTCTTTTTAGTATGGTGACTTTGTATTCCTTCTTATTTTGATGCTTTCTGCATCATTCAATATTTTGCCTATAGAATCCTCCAATATTTTAAGTTGAGGCTAGAATTTTTTCTTAAGTTCTTTTAGCTTGAGAAATACTGACAGAGTTCTTTGCTATTGGTTTTCTAACTCCAGGTCATTGCACATTTCATTATAATATTTGACTTTGTCTCTTGAGCTACCCTTTTGAAATTTTCTGTTCAGTTTTTTCCTCTCATTTCTTCCATATGCCTTAGCATCTTTATGCTGGAGAGCAAGTTGAAAGTCTCCATTAACATTATAGAAGTTAAGAAGGATTTACCACATAGGATAATTATATCAGATGAGGGATTATCATATCATATCATATCATATCATATCATATCATATCATATCATATCATATCATATCATATCAATCATATCATGGGGTTGGTTGTATTCTGTTTGAGCTCATCATGGAGGAGATAACTACATCTTAACTGCTAAGCCACTGAGAATCCTGGTCCAGCCAACTTGACACAAACCCTTTCCTGTCATTATCACCATGTATCTGAGACTAATGACATAAAGCAGTTGTGTGGGTTTTGTCAGACTAAATGGTTGCATGGGTGCAAATATTTGTGCTCTCAGCATTTCCTAAAGCATTAATGGCAGAAATGAACCGAGCTGTTGAATTCTCTAGAATTTTACAGTTAAGAATTTAAAATCATATAGCAGGAAGATTTTAGCTCTTTTCGTTTCGGCTTTATTTTTCTTGAGGAGACTTGCCTTTTAAGGTAAATGTTAAATGTTGCCTGCAGGAATATAGAAGGAGAGAGTGAAGCCCCCCTTGGGCAGGGAGAAATTGGTCACCACTCAGATTTATGCCTCACTTGTGTATGAAGACACAGACTTAGTGTGTGGGTCAAATGAAGTTTGTTTTCTAAAAATAAACCTAAATCTACTGAAATCAAATCTAACTAGATTTTAAAAGGAAAAAAAAAATGTGTAAATGCTGTGGTTTATTTCCCTCTGGCTGTGGGGATATGGAAACTTATCTAAAAGGGCTTTTTGAGTTGTGGTCTCTGAAGCTGTTTAAAAACAATAACTCTCTCCTTTTCATGGCTTGTGTATGAGAGCAGTAGATGCTTGCTTGAGTTTTACCTCATGCATTGGAGCAAATTTAAGGCTCATGGTGATGAGATAAATGTGAGAAATAATTAGGCTTCTGGTGAAGGGTGTATTCCCTTAGTGTGTGGGTTTTGAGGTGAGTGAAAAAGACTTGGGGTGGCTGTGGTAAAATATTTCAGTAGATGTATGAAAGGACTCCCTGTCCTTCAATGTCTCTTAAATTATGAGTCACTGAAAGAGAATGATGTCATAGAAAGAGCACTGAAATAGGAGTTTTCAGT